AACTTATGCAACGTGGGAACAAAACGATTTTGACGTGAAAAAAACATACGATAGCCCAAAGTCAAATGGCGATGGATTGATTCAAATTAATTACATTGCACCCGTGTAAAGAGATGATATACTTAACCAGTATCCGCATGAAGCGGTAATTAGATTCAATTTCGTAAACACCGAGATCCGAGTGTGCGAAGTCTAAATAATAAGCTTTTATTAAGAATCAAATCACCCCCACACGGGTTGTCGGGCACAGCCGTGCGGGGGTTCCTGGATCCGACCCCCCCTCCCCCTTGTACCCCAGGGGGCTGGGGGGCCGTAGCCTCTTAATTATTGTCACATATGAATTATTTTGATATTGACGCGTCCCGACCTCCGTAGCACTCGTTAGAGCGTCCCCTCGGATTTCTTCGGCGGCGATTGTAGTTATCGCATCGGTTATGCCGCCCTGGTACTTGGGGCCGTTGGCAGCGTTGTTTTTTTTTCCAGAAAACGTACTTTTTCCCCGCTATCTGAGATTTTTCTCATACTTTTTCTATCTTATCTCGTTTTATTTATTATTCGTTCTGATATCTTTCTTGTATGATGATTGATTTAAAGTAATTCGTTAGAATTATTAACATTGTTATATCCATTTTGATATTTTTCTATTTCACAACATACGAAATACCTACTACTAATCCTTCTTGAAAATGATCTGTCGAGTAACAAACCACCAAATAAATTCATCTGACAGATGATCTAACCCTATAATTTACTTCGAGGTTTTTTTGTCAGATACGCTTATTATATGATTTTGAAACGCCAACGATCACTTATTTGTCAGATAAGTTGCAAGTAGATTACTAGCGACTTTATTTGGACATTGTGAAACAGACACTTTAATGTGTGAACTATGTCTACTGATACACATCCAAATGTTTTAACGCTTATTTGAAGTAACACTTGATTAACTTAAAGACACGGTCACTTAATTCATATTTGAAACGTTATTAGTTAGAAGATTAATCATTTTCACTATTTTAAAAACAGCTAAATCGAAAAGGCGGCATAAGCCACGCGAAAATGCGTCGTATCTAACAGGGGGTTTTCTATTCGCATGGAGCTTAAAAACGTGTTCCCAATTAACGGGCGGCGGTGCGATATTTAGACTGTCTTTGCGAAGATGTCCCAGAGGCCTCGCGCCGCGATAGTGTGGCGAACTTTAATTTTCCAAATTCACCTGCCGCTTATGTAATTCGCCCCCCGGCATACATGTGGCGCCCCCTGGCAGCTGGGGTGTCGAACGCAAGGCCGAGGGGGGCACAGCGACGCTCACGAAAAGGAAAGGGTGGCCACGAGCGAATTTTTTTCTGATTTTTTCCCGTCCGCCCTTTCTCCCCCGATAATACCCTAATGGTCGCCGGCTTCCTTTTCGGTGGGTCTTTTTTCGCGCAAGCAAAGATCGAGACGAAATTTTTTATTCGCCCGTAATTTCATCGTCTCCCGCCCGAATGAAATAAAGGCGACCGATACTTATTGAAACGTGATTCGGCCCACCTAGGTGGTCAGGACAGTCATATGGTTTTCTTTATTGTAGACATAATGAGACACTCATTTAAGGTACAGAGTATCTTGTGTATTGACTATTGGCGTAGTGGATAATGAAGCAGAAGAATGAGCGTGATAAGATAGCACTAAAAATCAATAATTTCATTGGTGCCGACACCGGAGATCGAACTCAGATTGTTCGAGTATATTGAATTGAGCGCCTGAACAACTGAGCTATCACGGCTACATGGTTTTTGTGTGTCTGTAGGTTATAATATATCTTTCATATGTATAACAGAAGAAAATTATGTTTAAAAATGTTTATCAGTTACCTACTACACATAGAACGAGCTTGGCTTAGTTTGGGACTAGATTAAAAATAAATCCTTTATTTTAATCTTGGCGTGAAGCGGGTTTTAACAATCATTCTTAAACGTTGAAATTTTTCCATTCACACAGTTAAACTCTATTACTATTGACGTCTCCATGGCGCAGTTGCCAAGGTGATCCGGATTCCGGGTCGTGGGTTCAATTCCGACACGTTACAACTGTTTGTGACCAACAGATAATTGTTTCGCATCTGGGTGCTTCTCCACGCGATATTTGTGTGTAAAATGTCCCTACAACACAGAACAATGTTGCGTAAGGGCAATGTTCAAAAAAAATGTTCTCCTCGATTTACACGGCTGTATAAGACAATTTTGAAGGCGTCGAAAAGTTGGGGCTGCCGTGCACCCTTTGGCCGCTTGGCAAGCAGGATTTCACTGCACCCGCGATAAATTCCCGTGGAGCCGCTCTGCATAATGCAAGCCAGTAGAGACGCGGAGACGGGATCGGGCGTCCCTCGCCCCCCGATGGGGTCTTCGCCTACCAGGCGAGCAGGAGGCCGGAGCGTCCGCTAAGATTAATACGCCACCGGTAGCCGGCCGTTTCATTAAAAATACTGGGGAGCGTGACGGTTGAGCGTCGGCTTGCGTTAAGGACCTTGTTTGTGTAGGTGCGGAGGAACGATCGGTTGTATGTGTGTGTATATATATACACACACACACACATATATATATATATATATATATATAGCGTGAGCTCCAACATCGATAACGATTAAAGAAGTATCAGCCTACAGTTACCGTCAGAGATGCTATACGAATATCGATTATGACTTTTTTATGTCAAAAAGAGGCAAACGAGCTGTCGGTTCACCTGATGTTAAGTAATAACCGCCCATGGACATTTGCAACACCCGTAGGGTTGCTAATGCGTTGCCACCTTTGAATGAAGTGAAGGGACCCGGCTACCTCACTCACCAGACAAAACGCAGAAGTGTAACTTCTACTTTACCCCGGTCTTCCTGTGAGGGCGTGGTAATTAGTGCAACAGTGAACCCTGTTGCATGGCCCTACCACAGTAGACGGATTTAGAAACAGGTGTGGTTTTACATTATTGCACACGTTAGAACGCCTTTCTGTTAGCGAAATATAATTTTATCCAAATCTATCGACTATCTAATCTATCTCTTAGATGGCTTTAACACTCGCATAATTTCTGCATTCGCAAGTCACAGCTAAATTCTTTTTTTTATGCGTGCACTATTTTTTTTTAACAAAAGCGAAACGCTGTTACTTCTACAAAACGTTTGTCACGTTAAATTAAGATACAGGTTCGAATTCAGCATTAAGGTTAGTTATTCGTTTGCTATAGATGTTTCACTCCGTTACTGCTAAGGGGATGAGAGTCTTGAAGTTCTATTCAATTAACGCGTAACTATAACGCTTACATCAGTTTTGTCCATTGCTTTCCTGTTATATTTTGTCTACAAAATTTTATAATTATTAAAAAACTGAAATCCTCAACAGAAGAAAAATTTTATAATTATTCTTCTGATGAGAATTTCAGTTTTACTGACTTTAAAAGTGAAGATTAATTGATAATCATTTGAACCGGAGTAAAATCACTATTTATAAAAAAAAAACGTTTCTGTACTATTACTAAACTATCAGAAGTTAAAGAAGGAGAAGAAAATTTTATTGGTCCTCTTTGATTGTGAAATAGGCATTAAATGCAATTGAGAACGATTTAATTAAATATCTTAGAATTGTAAGAAAATGTCAAAAACTTGTTATTGGTTGCCATTTTTACGCCATGAAGTGTCGCTTTTAGGTGAGGTAAAAATTCATTCTCATCATTTTTCCAAAAAGCTAAAAGAAGTATAACTTCAAAATCTTAAATCCATCCCTGTGTATTTGCCTTTAGCCTGATACAGAGCATGTAGATTTTTTAGGAATATGTAATGATAAGGGTCTTATCAACTCTGAAGTTATATTTATTACAGTTTGCAATAGGAAAAATGTAAAAAATTAAAACTGCACGCCTCTGGTTTCAAACCATCTACTTCAAATCGCGTGTCGACTTCCCTACCCACTAAACCACCCCGGAATATTTTTTTTCAATAAAATTAAATTTTCTCGTGTTCAACCTGTTCGATTTACTGAGGGAATTGAATTTATTAGTCCACGAATACGTGCAAAAAATACACATGCAGTGCAAACGTTTATCGGTCCTAAGCGCATTTGATATTGGTCTTTATAAAAAAAATCCGCCGTTTCTAATCTAATATCCCACTTCAAGAACATTTTCCCGTCGCCATTGAATTTAATCCGTTCGCCCTTATCGCTACAATTTATTGAAAAGAAATAAACTTTTCCGACTTTAAGTATCGGATAGCGAGAGTAATAAAGAAAAATAAACCGCACTCTCGGTTAAAAAAAACCGGTAGAGCGCCAAAGCCCGCCACGTTAACTACCAGGGCAACAGAACAAGCGCAGCGATTCGCCTTTTTCTAAGGCAACGCTGAAGTTATTATTTCTTGGCGGGAAACCCCCTATGACCCCTGGTGCGCGTAACTACTAAGCTGGCTGGCTGTTCACTGGCAAAAAGTACCCTCCCCCCTCCGTTCGCTTACGCTTTTAAACCTCAAGCGTCCAAGTACGGGGAATATGAAATTTTCGAAATGATAAAGCCGGTAAATAATAACTGCTGGTACGCCGGGCACTCGCCCGGTGTACTGCCCGCAGAAAAGTTTGCTGTCTTGAAAAAAAATCCATTTAAAATGTTGGCCATCTATCTGAACTATATCGGTGTTATTTTATTACTAGACTTATAAAAGCGTTATTCATTTACTTATAATGTAATATAAAATTGTATCAAAATACTCGTATGTAGGTATATCCTCGAGATATATAGCGGTCCGTTACATTATTATGTTGCGAATACCTTTTAAATGAAGCTAAAACGATGTTGAATTGTATATTGCCACGACACGCGATATCTTTAACAAATAAATGACAATTTATGCATTTTTATACACTAAGTTATGAAACAAAAGTTTTACGTGGATCGGGATTGGGGGAATACATTCGTTATCATTGCGTACCCTTTTGTTGGTCGAGTGGTTGATAAAGTTAACTTAATTAGTAAAAATGAGAGAGGTTTTCTGTCGACAGTACCGGGGCAGCAGCGGGGTTCGTGTGTCTGCTTTCACATTACCCACTCGCTACGTAAGGCGGGGCACGGAGCCCCCGCCGCCTGCTGCGCGCCTAGTGCCTACACCCGCTTTTTACTCCTTCCTGCCGGCCAAAGTAATCAATTTGCGACTTAATTAATTAGGAAAAATGCTTTGTTGTTTCGGCAACTTGCATGGTGCATGCACATGCTGAATCCGGCGCCACTCAGTGACTATTTCTCGATCATGCCCCACCCATAAACAAAAATAAGTATACATGGAGGCTGCCGACAGAAGCGAAAATTTGAAACTGGAATTATAACTTTTTATTTTTAAATGAATTAGTATGAATAAATAAAATCACAAAACACTTATTTAAGTTGCAAAAGACCTATTTTCTTTTAGACCAATAAACAATATTTTTTTGTAGATAATTTAATTGAATTTCGAATTACAGAGATCAGAAAACCAAATGATATTAAAATTTTGAACTTGACCTTGGTGGTCAATGACAAAAACACGTGATATTATTATGTCTGTGACAGGAGCCTTTGACCTTTTCCCCCCATCCAAAATTGTCCAATGTGCCTTCACATGTTTTCACTTAAAGAAAATGAAATGTGTTCCTGTAAATTATTTACCTAAAAAAAGTTTTTACTTACAACAAATTGAAATGTGTTTCTGTCAATTTTCCCCCCATATGTCGAATGTGCATGTAGAACTTTTCAATTAAAAAAAAAAAAAAAAAAAAAAAAAAACGAAATTTAAAGCCGGTACGTTTGCCCGCTACCGTTCTCATTTAGCGATCGCAGACCGTTCGATTCGTAATAGACCGTCCGAACGGACCGCAGGGGCGGACGGCGCACTCAGCGCTTCCTCGGCCGACGTGACCCAATTTCCCCCGACCCAGCGCCGGTTAGTTTCCACGCTGGCGGCTACAAATACTTTTGCGTTAGTTCCGTTTCGCCCGATACCGCTGTTATCTAGTTAGCCCGGGTCGACGAGGGTCCGAAGGGTCCGTTAAGTACTAGGAGCACATAGGTCCGTGGGTAGGCGGGCTCGCGCTGGCCCCGCACCCGTCCGTTTATAAATGTTCACGTAATGCCACTGAGGGAGTGTGCCCTCGCACGCTGCAAACAATTAGGCTTCGCTGATCCTCGTAATAAAGCATCCTTTTGTTGGCATTCGAATATATTATATGTTCATATGTTATATACATAAAATGCGTGTTACTTCGCTTATTGCCCTTTCGTCAGCTACACTCACTTTGGTGAGTTATTATACTCAATTCCCAGTCTGATTGTGGTATCGCCATGCTTTAGCGAGTTTGATTCCCCACTATAATTATTCTATGTCATAAAATATATTAGTAACTGTAAACTTTAGAAATATTATGATATAAACTTTATAACGTGTACTTGATATTTTTATTTTGTTTTCATAAAAATAATTTTAATGCTCATCAGTAGTACGAGAAATTTTTGAAGATACTATTTTAATCAAAATAAATAAATCACATAAGCAACACAGGTCTCGCATCCACAAAGGATACGTGCCTTGGTTTTTCTGCAAAAGTTTTTTTATGAAAACCTTTTCAGCGAAATTATCAGAAGTAGCGATGAATTTCTCGGAGCTTGTTCTATAATTGACTGCGTAAAAAATATATCTGGACTTCGCGGAAGATTGACTGGAAAGCTTCCTAACGATAGCTATACTAGGGAGGCATGACTTTGCAGGCGTTGGTTAGCGACGATTCCGTTGGAACATTTTATTTGTCCTTCGCATTTCCGGACGCAAGATCGGTTCGGCCTCCCCGAAAATTTGCCGCTTAAATCGGCCGTATCGCGCGGCTGTCTGTTTGTTTAGGACCTTATCGCGTCAAACAAGCCGTGCCCGCGTTCTTGCGGCGACGAAGGCCGAATTCATGGTGCGAATTAATTTTTACTCCGTTCTGAATAAGCCCGAACGTGCGCTTGTGAAGTTCCACCGACAGCTCCATCTATCGGTGGCTTTGCGAAGTATTTGTTCGTGTATAGACATGGAGAAATTGCCGAATACGTTTTAAAAGTAACAGCCTATACATATCCCACTGCTGGGCAAAGGCCTCCTCTGTACAGAGTGTATCAGGGCATAGACCACCACGCGGCCCCGCTGCGGATTGGCGGACTTCACATATCTTCGAAATATTTTTTTATTATTATTTAGAAAATATGCGGGTTTCCTCACGATGTTTTCCTTCACCGCTGAGCACGTGATAAGTCAGCACTCAAAGTTAAAAACTTCATTGGTGCCGGCACCGTGGATCGAACTCAGGTTGCTCGAGTATATTGAATTAAAGGCGAGCGCCCGGACACTGAGCTATCACGGCTATGAATACGTCTTACTCACTCAAACGTCGTTCTGGCTTTACGCCCTTTGTGACCGGTGGATCGGTAAAGGCCTCTTAAGGCCAACAGTGAATGCAACCAAAAAAAATACCGAAATCGAAAAAAATATTGGGAAGTGAGTAAGCTCACCAGACGTTAAGTGCATACCACCGCCCATGGTTATCTATGGCACCTGAGGTTACCTTATGAACCTTTAAAAAGTGGGCCCCGGACACCTCACTATCAAAACACGTAAGTATAATACTCCCGCTTCTCGTCCATCTTGTTTTCTTTAATGTCGTAGTTACTTCCCAACACGCGCCTGCCCAATCATGGAGGAGCTTTGAATTTTCTTGTTAGTCCCAACAAGTTTTATAATAAAGACTTCATCTTCACCAGCTGCAAGCTGCTTTTGGAAATGGCCTTTCGGTTATTACTCTTTATGGTCAAGTACCATAAAATATAATAATAGTGAGTGAATAGACCTTTTATAAATTTCAAATAATTTTTTTTAAATATTAATGAGCTTGTTTATGTAACTAGATTTTTAAGCCGATTCCACAAAATATAGTTTTCTTACCGCGTGTTTAATATTAAGAAAACTCGCTTATAAACGTTTATATTTTTAAATACAACTTTGTGTTAGAATTTCTTGGGTGAATTGGTGTGTTAATGAAACAATAACTTCTTTAAAGAACAATTCAAACTTTAGTTAACTCATCCGATATCTCGACAAATTATATTATGAATATAATTGATTAATACTGCATTAAGACCTGCGGAGGGCTCTAATTAAACTTTCCTGGTATATAGTTTAGTATCAAATATATATAATTTTATATTTGTATCATTTATATCGAATAGTTTATTCGCCATTACTAATATTTAAACACATTTCGACTTAGAACGTTTATTATCGTCAATAATAAACGTTAGACTGAATCGGAAGAAAAACCTTTGAATTGTTACAATCAAAACACTTTGTCTTAAATTATATCTACTTACATGAATTGAATTATAGAGGTCTGTCGTTGTGCGTGCGTTATCGAAAAACTACTGGATAAATTTCAATTAATTCTACCAAAGTTTTATTTCTAGACAGCGGAGCCCAATTTTCAAAACGTTGTTAACACTTAATTGTTATTTGCGTAATCGTGTGTTGTTAACACTTAACATCAGGTGATCCGTCTGCTCGTTTGGCAACTTTTGGCATAAAAAAAATATATTTTTGTTCAGCGGTGTTTTCTTGCCTTTTAGAAGTGAGACAAGCGATGTTGTTGTTACTAAAATAAACAAAGAAGACGAAGTCGCGGGAATCAGCTAGTACTAGGGATATATAAAACGTTCAAACATTCGGGCACTGCGGAGCAGTAACTTATTCCGGCGTTAAACTCTGCACACGGAAACTAAAAAAATGTAATAATACCTAACCCCGGTCGCAACCGACCCGCCCGTATAAATTCTACCTTAAAAATCCGCAAATTCGGGGCCCCGACACGGCCGACGGACCTCACCCAAAAGGGTCCGCCGAAAGGGATTTGCCCAGGGATCGGCATCGGGCCCGCACTTATACAAAATGTCCAATATGGGCCGCTACCCTCCGGCCCAAACATACCTAAGTGCTGAGCCGCTACCGCCGTAAACAAAGAAGTTAGTCGCCGCCTCGCCGCATATCCTGCCGACTAAAATGTTGGACCGCTCCTGTCGCTCTAGTAGCTGAGGCCGTATTAAGTTACTGCCACTTAAAGCATTCAACTCTAACTTAGTGTCGCTATATTTTGTTTCGGTGTTATTTTAAAAACATGTTTGCCGCTATTGAAAAAATGGACAAATAGGATAGATATAGTTCATGTTTTCATAAAATATTCGTTTTAAAAATTTCTTATAAAGAATGTATGATAATGCCATCTATTAACAAATTGTGTAAATATAACACAGGGAAGACTGAAAGATGTTATTCTTTAAAATTTTATACCTTTCATTTGATATATATTTTACACGTTTCAAGCGTAAATAAGATATAGTTATCTATGATAAAATATATCGTTAATTTCGAAATTAATATTTCAAAACATTTCTTTCCTTCGGCAACAGGTTCTGAACTGTTAAAATCACTGTAATAAAATAAACGATAATCCAAAAACTGTTGTTTTATTTCAGGTAAGGACGCGGCGATTAGCGAAAACTTCTATCAGTAAGTTAATAATTATTTTTCACTTTAAAACTTTAGATTGATAAGATTGTGTAATTGTGCAAACGTATAACATTTTTCTGTCGGAACGTTTCAACGTGTCAAACAAGTTAAGTAAAAAGGACAGTGCTGGCTCAGTGGTTGGGCCAGAGGAATCGTGAAATTATATCGCGGTTTCGAAATTCGCGCACCAATAGTGTTCCCTGTTTTACGGTTGTCTTCAAAAACTATGACTTAATAAGCTGATTTCTTGGTACCTTGCATATATCTCTTTGCAAAGAGATATATAATCACGTAATACTCGGCATGATTACTAATTTATCAAATTCCCTTTTGTCAAAACCGCAAAATCGATTAAAGCGAATTTTAAAATTGTAAGGTTCGCTTTTCGTCTCAAAGTTAAGTCCTCCAGATTTTATTAATACCAATGTTGGAGCAGATTCGGTTTAAATAAGTTTATTTCTTATAAAAACTATAACAGTTTGTTTAAAATAAGATTTGAATTGAAATTTTATTATCAAATATTGTGTTTACACTTCTGGCGCATGCATTTTTAAATAGCATTTAAATTATTATTAGGTAGTATTAAAATTAATTTTTTTTTACAATATAATAAATAGTGGAATACATTTTTTTTCTTCATATTACATTATACATTACAAAAATATTATTTTGAAAAATTAATTATAGCATGCTTACATATTTTCTCAATTTACTTTTGAATATATTTATACTATATTTATACAGATTCGAATCTACAATTGAGTAATCTGCACTTGTAGTAGATCTTCATACCCATAATGTGTACTAGTTGTATTATTTGTTAAGTTGAAAAGTTTGTCATTTGCTAATATCGGCCCTTTAACATGAATAGAATGGTGTTAGCCATCAAAGTGCCGACTTAAAAGGCGGTTAGGTAAACTCTAAGGTCAAGCCAAAGACGTATACTTTTTATGTACCAAATGTAGTACAAATTTTTCCATTCAGTTTATGTTACCCTGGTTGATTTCGATTCTGGATATCGACGATTTGTAATAGTTAATTTATCAAATAAAACGTTTGTGAGAATTTTTGTAATCTGGAATCAATAATTTTACAGAGCAGAGGAGTTTAAATTTCAAATAACGATAATCGTGTCAAAAATACCGTCCAATTTAGTCTAATGCACTGTGTTTAATGAAACACTGATAATAGTCAAATCCTATTTCAAATACAGACCATTCAGCTATCAAATTCATTGCACAAAAAGTACCTACGAAATTTTCGAGTCTTATATTTATTTATTTACTCATAGCAAAACAAAACAATATGAAAACTTATTGAAATATTAATACAAAAATATTATTTTACCAATCAATTGTCATTCCAAGTACCTATGTGACGATAGCAAGTTATATTATTAAGAAAAAAACTTATACCTTTAAAGG